GTTCCATGGTATATCTAATGCCTTGGAAATTCTTTTGCACCCTTCTCCTGACTGATACCTTTTAACAGTGAGATCTCTCTGATGCTTTGGAAGCTTTCTGCGGACCACGGCTTTTGCTGTAGGATGTCACTAACAAAGTGTCAGGAAAGACCTACTAGAACAGCTGAACTTTATTTGGGGTTAATCAGAGGCACTTTAGATAAAGGCAGGTGTATTGATTCATATTTAATAATATTTTGAATGTGATTGCTTAATTCTGAACACAGCTACATCCCCCGTTATAAGAGGGTGTGCACACTTATGCAACACATTATTTAAGTTTTTTTTATGTTTACTTTCCCCCCTAAAAGATTTCAGTTTGTCTTTAAATTGAATTGTAAAGTTTATAGGTCACATTAAAGGTGGACAAAGTTCGGAAAAGATTTATCTTTGTCTAATACATCACAGAAACCTGACATTTAACAGGGGTGCAGGGGTGGACTGACCATTTGGAAGCTCAAGCACTGCCCGAGGGCCCGGGGTCAGTAGGGGGCCCAATGAGATGCCCCTGGTACCTTTTTCATAGGCTTTTTTGAGTTTGGGCAAGGACATAGGGGCCCCATGATCCGCTATTGCCTGGGGGTCCCATGAGTTGTCAGTCCGCCCCTGCAGGGGTGTGTAGACTTTTTATATCCACTGTATATATATATATATATATATATATATATATATATATACAGTATATAACAAGTGTAACATCTAAGAGTGTTAGATACAGCTGCTGGCAATATTAAATTGCTTTACCATGCCAAACTGAGACAAGAGCCCCCAAATAGCCTCTTGCTATTTTCTGCTAGCACTGCTTTACTCAAAGTAGTAGCAAACACTGCTTGGTGACTTGTACGTACAGGTACCTAAAAGGTAAGCTTCTAATAAAGCAGCTTGTAGGTACAAGGAGTATCTCCTAAACATGCAACGTTTAGGAGATATTCACTATTTCTGCAGCCGGTGATGTCACCAGGGAATGTGTACTGTGCTCTAAAGGGACGGCATACTGAGTATGCCGTCCCTTCAGAGATCTGTGCCACGGCTCTTGTGCACATGCTCAGGAGTGACGTCATTGCAACTCGGCCATTCAAATGGAAGAAAGACTGGGTGAAGATGGTGAGCCTGTCAGCAGTAACAGCGCGCTGCTGGAGGGCTTTGTTTTAGGGTAAGTATTTCATAATGTGCTTGTATGCAGTGCATACGAGCACATTATGACATTATCTTGCAGGGACCGCATATTTTTCTTTTTTTTGGAAAGACTTTACTACTTCTTTAAAAGATAAGCTCACCTTTGACACAAAAAAAGAAATAAATGCACATTTTTTTTGCAGGAAAAAAAAAGTGCATTTATTGTTTTTGTCTACAGGAGCCTGGAAAGCATTGCACCAGGGATCAGTAGATTGCTGGTGCCATGCTGGTCTCCTGCAGACCTGTCAGAATATCTGCTTGCCATATGGAGTGTACAAGCAAGCAAATATTCTCACAGGAAGCTTTAATGAACTACCACAGCGCTCCACAGTGCCGTGGTAGTTCACTGAACACTACAAGCCAACAGCCACTAAGGCAGTAGGGAATTGCAGTTCATTAATACACAAAATTCCGTGAATAAATGATGCGGCTGTGTGGGCGGCAACCCAAATGGCCGTGCTGTTTTCAAATTTGACAGATTAGTATGGGGAGACTTATCCCCGTACTATCTGTCAGAAGAAGGGGGGGCATGGCCGGCGGCTGCCAGCAGGATAATGTTACACGTTCCACCCTAAAAACGGGTGGAACATGTAACATGTTCCCAAAGGTGAACTTATTCTTTAATCTCAGCCAGTGCAGCATGGGACAGCCAAGATTTGATCCACATATGGGCAGGCTGGTTGTACTGAAGTCAATCCTTGAATCGACTTCAGTACAACCAGCCTGTCGGATTATTTGCATGTGATTCCTGCCAGAGGCTATAGCTGCCAGCAGTGACCATTGTGCTCTGCCGGCAGGGCACAACACAATAGCACTGCAGGAGTGATTCCCCCACCAACACTGACTGTTGATGGGGCAATCAAGCAATTTTCTTTCCTGCCACCTGTGGTGGCAGGAAAGAAAATCTATTCATCTATGGCTTGCTTTGGATCTTACAAATTCATACAAATTCTGACACCAGACTAGGCTCCCTTCTGCTCTCTATCATATATCAAGTGGGGTTCATATCGCACTGCCAGGCCAGAGATAACACCAGACTTGTGATAACACAGAACAAACAACAGACATTGTAGACGCTATTAACCAAATGGAATCATAAGCTTTACTGCTTAGTTTAGATCAGTGGTTCTCAACCTTCCTAATGCCGTGACCCTTTAATACAGTTCCTCATGTTGTGGTGACCCCCAACCATAAGATTATTTACCCAGTAATTATAATTCATGAGTGTCGTTTTACCTCCAATACTGCTGCTTTCAACACAGTAGCTGCTTTTAACAGAGTAGCTGCTTTCAACACAGCAGCTGCTTTCTACACAGTAGCTGCTCTTTACACATCGGAAATATGTGTTTTCTGATGGTCTTAGGGGACCCCTGTGAAAGGGTCGTTTGACCCCCAAAGGGGTCGCGACCCACAGGTTGAGAACCACTGGTTTAGACTGAAAGGAGGAATTCGATCCCTGGAGCTGGCCATTTATACATGCTAATTTAAGACACAACAAAGATCAAGACATTACCTCTTAACATACAGCCAGTCCAGTTAATCTCTTTGAAGCCTTGCCATTAACAGTTCAAACAAGGACCTCAAAAAGATTTATTTGGGTCCACTAAATGACTAATGTACTCGCTCAGAAATCAAGAAATTACCAAATATCACTTAGCCATTGATCTAAGACATCTCACGTCCTGGATCTACTGTTTTACAGTAGATCAGCTATTTTCAAACAGGGTTCATCCAGAAGTTGCTGGGGGTTCCTCGAGCAGTGAAAAATTGGCATCCCACATTATTGTACCTGCATAGTTCCAGGGCCATCCCCATTTGGCAGAGCCAGCTGCATAACATTTAGCTGTCCATAAAGGTGGCATTTCTGACCTTCACTCTAAGGGGGAATTTTTCCCACAGTAATCGGTTTAAGGTTTTAGCAGGAGTTTCCCTGAGACCTGAAACAAATTTTAAGGCCCCACTCACACTGAAGCGTTTTGTAACTTGAAGCTCCAAAACGCTTGCCGAGAAAAAATCAATTATACTCAATGGAGATGGTTCACATCTTCACTCCAAGTTACCTGAAGCCAAATGCCTGAAGCTCAGACAAGTTCTGGAGCTTTTTTTTGTACCTCAAAGTGAGCAGATTTGGTGCGTTTTTATTTCCATAAAAACATTTTGACGCACGTTTGGCAGTTTTTCTGCTCCAATTAAAAAATTTTTAAAAAATAGTAATAATAACTAAATACACAAATAAAAAATCATGATAAATAATAAATAACCTCTAACCTTAACCCCCAACCCTAAAAAAATAATAAAAATAAATAATTTGTTTATTAATTATTATTATCATTATTTTATTAAATTTTTTACGGTTTAGGGAGTTAATTATTATTTATTTAATATTACATAGTATTTATTTATAATTATTTGTATATATTTGTTTATTTATTATACATGCATTTATTCATGCATTATTATTATTAACACCCTAACCCTAAAATAATAATAATAACAATAATAATAAAAAAAAATAATAAGATAATATTATTATTATTATTATACAGTATTTATAAAGCGCCAATAGTTCACTCAGCGCTGTACATTACAAAGGGGGACAGAACATGTGACAGAACAATACCAATACAATGCAAAACATGAGGGGATCGAGGGCCCTGCTCTTTCGAGCTTACAATCTAGGAGGGAGGGGATAGTGGTACAGGAGGAGATAGCTGTGGGGGATGGAGTGGTAGGAAGAGTGGAGGAGGTCAGCAAGTTAGCAGGGGGTGAGGTAGGCTTCCCTGAAGAGATGGGTTTTCAGGGTGCGCCTAAAGGAGAGGAGAGTAGGTGATAATCTGATCGGTTGGGGCAGGGAGTTCCAGAGGATGGGTGACACCCTGGAGAAGTCCTGGAGGCGGGCATGGGAGGAGGAGACCAGGGAGCTAGAGAGAAGGAGGTCTTGTGAGGAGCGGAGTGTGTGTGCTGGGTGGTACTGGGATATTAGGTCAGTGATGTAGTTCGGGGCAGTATGGTGGACAGCTTTGTACGTCAGTGTTAGGATTTTAAATTTGATCCGTTGCGCAATCGGAAGCCAGTGGAGGGATTGGCAGAGGGGGGTGGCGGAAACGGAGCGTTTGGAAAGGTGAATGAGTCTGGCAGCCGTATTCAGGATCGACTGAAGCGGGGATAGCCAGCGGCGAGGCAGGCCAGTGAGGCCAGTAATACATAAAATATTAACCCCAACTCAAACACTATTCCAGGGGAGTTCATCCTGTGGCCCTCAGAGTCCTCGGATGTGGCCCTCCACCTCAAACGAGTGAAGCACACTTCTAATATATCCTACGGGTTTGGTGTGCTTTCGTGTGAACTGCTGAACTGAGAATCAAGATTTGTCAAGGGGTACCCAGAAGTTAAGCACCAACTAATAAGGCGCATCACTGGTAATGCAGTAGTAATGGTTCTTATGTGCCGTGCCACAACTCCCAGCCGTACCCCCTTGCTGAAAAAGAGCACCAAAACTCTTGAATGCAGGAGTTTTGCTGCGCTTTCAAAAAATGCAAAACACCTGCAAGATATACCGTATTTTTCGCTCCATAAGACGCACCTAGGTTTTAGAGGCAGAAAACAGGAAAAAAAAATTCTGAACTAATGGACTGCAGACATAGTACAGGAGATGACCAGAGACTGCGGACACAGTTCAGGGGATGACCAGAGACTGCGGCCACAGTACAGGAGATGACCAGAGACTGCGGACATAGTACAGGAGATGACCAGAGACTACGGACACAGTACAGGAGATGACCAGAGACTGCGGACACAGTACAGGAGATGACCAGAGACTGCGGACACAGTACAGGAGATGACCAGAGACTGCGGACACAGTACAGGAGATGACCAGAGACTGCTGACATAGTACAGGAGATGACCAGAGACTGCGGACACAGTACAGGAGATGACCAGAGACTGCGGACATAGCACAGGAGATGACCAGAGACTGCGGACACAGCAACTGTAGTACAGGAGATGACCAGAGACTGCGGACACAGTACAGGAGATGAACCAGAGACTGCGGGAGTACAGGAGATGAACCAGAGACTGCGGACACAGTACAGGAGATGACCAGAGACTGCGGACACAGTACAGGAGATGACCAGAGACTGCGGACACAGTACAGGAGATGACCAGAGACTGCGGACACAGTGCAGGAGATGACCAGACACTGCGGACACAGTACAGGAGGAGATGACCAGAGACTGCGGACACAGTGCAGGAGATGACCAGAGACTGCGGACACAGTACAGGAGATGACCAGAGACTGCGGACACAGTGCAGGGGATGACCAGAGACTGCGGACACAGTACAGGGATGACCAGAGACTGCGGACACAGTACAGGGATGACCAGAGACTGCGGACACAGTACAGGGATGACCAGAGACTGCGGACACAGTACAGGGATGACCAGAGACTGCGGACACAGTACAGGGATGACCAGAGACTGCGGACAGCACAGGGATGAGACGGACAGGGAGACTGCGGACAGCACAGGGATGACCAGAGACTGTGGATAGTACAGGGGATGACTGCTGACCTTTGGGGAGGGGGGGAGCGGGTACCTGAATTTGACAGATACCCGCTCCCACTTCCGCGGAGTTGTTCTTTCATCTTACCTGTTCCTCTATCCAGCCGCGCGCTGTCTTCCCGGCTTCTGTCTGTAATGGAGCTCGGCATGACAGCCGGGTGCCCAGTGCGCATGAGCGAGAAGCACTTGCGCTTTGTGATTGGTCCGGCGGCTTCTGGGATCTGTCATGTGTCCCAGGTGCCGCCTTACCATTCACAAAAAGCACCGCTTCCTGCGCATGCGCACTTGGCACCCGGCTGTCATGCCCACACTACAGAAGCCGGGAAGACCGCGCCGCTGGATAGAGGAACAGGTAAGATGAAAGAACAACTCCACGGAAGTGGGAGCGGGTATCTGTCAAATTCAGGTACCCGCTCCCCCCCCTCCCCAAAGGTCATCAGTCATCTCTATAAGGTACCGCTGTAGAGCTGAGCGGCCGGCCCGGTATTCTGACACGGCGGCAGTGGAAATACCGGACTGACCGCTCCATATTCGCTCCATAAGACGCACTGACATTTTCCCCCCTTTTTTTGGGGGAAAAAAGTGCGTCTTATGGTGCGAAAAATACGGTAATAGAAGTCATGGCAAAGTGCAGCTAACCCGTAGTAAAGCACAGCACATCAGTGTGAAAGCAGTCTTATAGGGGGCTCAGGACAGTAACGGCTCGTTTACATTTGCGGTTTGGGGGGAAGGTAAAACCTCATAGTTAAGTTGTTTTTACCACGCATCCCCAACCACTGGTGTAGCATCAGGGGTCGCAATGGTGACTTCGCCCCATGCTCCAGGTGGCCCATGTGGCCTCCCTGTCACATTCTATTTTACACTTGGACAGGAGGGGCGGCGTATACATTTGACTTCTGCAACTGCTGAAAGTTGGCTTCTCCTCTTCTCCCTCCCGCTGGCATTTAGTGGCAGTAGGAGAAAAATTATGCTATTCAGAATAAATAATTCAAAATGCTGAATAATTTAATTTCATCGTGGCCCATGACCGGTTACTAAATCACTTAAAGTGTTACTAAACCCACACCAGTAAAATCAGTCTGTATAAGCAGTACAGCATGCTTGTTATACTCACTGTGGAACCTAAGGGGTTAATTCTCCACATTGTGTAAAAAGGATATTTGATTCCGACTTCTCTGATCCTCCCCTTCTTCCACTGTCCCCTAAATATCTCCTGATAGAACACATTTTCAGTTTGGTGTGTATTGCTAAAGAAAGTTGTTTTTATTTGGGAGAGTGCATGTGATCAGCACAGGGCCAATCAGCACTGTCCAGACAGAGGTCAGGGGTTCTGCATCCTCCTACAGCAGAAAGAAAACTGGTCCTACAAGCTTTAACCAGTGCTTTGCTGGACACTGATAGAAGTCACAAGACTGCTATATACTGCTGGTGATAAAAAGTATTTAGCAGTTCATAATTAGTAAAATAATTGCATTTCCATGCTGTGTACTATGAGAGACCATATATAGTGAATGCAAAGTCCTGGGTTTAGTAACACTTTAAGTGGCCCTCACTCTTCAGCAGGTTGAGCACCTCTACCCTATTCTTAACCCTAACCTATCCTTAACTCTAACCCCTTACATACATAGTTACATAGTTAGTCTGGCTGAAAAAAAGACAAAAGTCCATCCAGTTCAACCATTAAAAAAAAAAAAAAAGTTATAATCCTACACCCACAGTTGATCCAGAGGAAGGCAAAAAACCCAAGCAAAGCATGATGCAATTTGCTCCTGCAGGGAAAAAATTCCTTCCTGATCGCCTGAGAGGCAATCGGATATTCCCTAGATCGACTTTACCTATAAATGTTAGTATCCAGTTATATTCTGTGTATCCAAGAAAGAATCCAGACCTTTTTTAAAGCAATCCACTGAGCTGGCCAGAACCAACTCTTGAGGGAGTCTATTTCACATTTTCACAGCTCTTACTGTGAAGAAACCTTTCCGTGTTTGGAGATTACATTTCTTTTCCTCCAGACGTAAAGAGTGCCCCCTTGTCCTCTGTGATGACCTCAGGGTGAATAGCTTTGCACCGAGTTCACTATATGAACCACTGATGTATTTATACATGTTGATCATATCCCCCCTTAATCTCCTCTTCAAGAGAGAATAAATTCAGTTCCTCTAATCTTTCCTCATAGCTGAGCTCCACCATGCCTCTTACCCTAACAATAAACAAAATAATAATAAATGAATAATAATAATTAAAATAATAAAAAAAGAAATAAAAGCTGATAGAAAAGCAAAAAAAGCAGAAAAACCTAGCAACAAATGATGCAACAGATGATATTTTTCTCTATTGGCTTATAAAAAAAGCCAAAGTTTAAAAACGCCTAAAAACCGTGTGAAAATGCACAAAAACACCCAAAATCGTGGTAAAAATATGCCTGAAAAATGCTACGCTCAGGTGTGAATGCAGCCTAAGGGTTCCTCTTGGGTAATTTTAAAAAACTGTGGATCACCCCAGTGCACCTAAACTGCATGCTCTAGAGCAGTGGTCTCTAAACTGTGGCCTGGGGGCCAGATGCAGCCCTTTTCTTGCTTTTATCCGGCAATATTTAATCTTCTGACAGCAACAATGGGACATAATTTCCCCCACTGGCAACAAAAGGGGCACAATTCCTCTGAGTGACACCAATGATGGGACAGAGTTCCTTCTAATGACACCAATGATGAGGCACAATTCCTCCCAGTGACACCAGGAATGGGACACAATTCCTCTTTGGTGCCAGGACTTTTTCTACTTACAATGACCACATTCTGGCCCACTTAAAGTCTGAAAAAACAGTAAACTGGCCCTTTGTTTAGAACGTTTGGAGACCCTGCTCTAGAGTAGAATTGGTAGATCTGCTGCCCCCAATGCAAATTCATCTGAAAAAAAAAATCACTTTCTCCAACCTTATGTGCCTTGAGAGAACATGTACAGTAGGCCCACCTAGGGGAGGACAAGTACCCACCCAGTGAACCCCTTTTCTGAAATATCCATATAGGAGGAAGTGGGAGAGTACTTTGGGACTGGAGCTACCACTAGAAACACGAAAGACCCTTTGGGTTCAAGCCCATAGAAGCTCACTTTGAATATTATACAAAGAAAACACTTAGAAAACTCTTATGCAATGGGAAAATACACCCAGCTACTCCCAACCACTAGGATGTGTTTCAGCTCTAGTCTACTACAGGTATTTTCAACCTCAGGCAACCACGATGATCTGAAATCCGAAGGCTCTACCTCTATTCTACTCTCTAAACACCCAAATTTCCTCCACTCTTTGTCTACATTCTTATTTTCGTGGTTATCTTTCTCTATTGACAATGACAGAATCTAAACAAAATCTTCCTCGTTGGTAGATTAACTGTGTTCTACATGCGTAGCCAGAAACTCCTGAAGTCCTATAAATATTCCACATTGCAAGTTGCAATTAAGCCATCTGTTTGACCTGTGGAATTTTATGCCACGTAGGCACTATGGGGTTTATTTACTAAAGCAGGAGAGTGTAAAATCAGGCTCACTTCTGCATAGAAACCAATCAGCTTCTAACCTCAGCTTGTTTAATTAAGCTTTGGAAATAAAACCTAGAAGCTGTTTTTTATGCAGAAGTAAGCCTGACTTTGCACTCTCCAGCTTTAGTAAATAAACCCCTATATGACAATATTGTGGTACCTTTATTTTTGTCAACCTGGAAAATCTTTAATTAAAAATTTCAAACAAACAGAATGAAGGATTTCAAAACACGAACACACAATGAAACAGTTTTGTCACATATTAAGCAAATGAAGCTAGCAGAAAATATGCATTGAATTACAAACAAAAGAAAAAAGGACCCATTTATTATTGTTATCTGCAGCCTTGAATTCAGCTTCCTCTGTTCTGCAGCATGAGAAGTTCTAAAGCTATTAAAATCACCTATGTCCAAAAGGAATGAATTATTACCTGGTATGTAAGAGACAACAACATCACCAGTGAGGCTTTTTCGTTGCCAAACTCTTAGGAATGAACACTAAAACCATATTGCATGCAGAAAAACCATAAATACTGGCATGGGGGTTAATTACAGTGATAACATGAAAATATATTCATTTGAATTAGCCGCCTAGCATATCTAAAAAAGGTGCATAACAATGCAAGTTAGTCCATCACCGTGTGTTATGCTGCTTTGTAACACAAGGCACAGCATCCCACAAAAGCATATAACCGCAGTGCAATAGGCTGAATAGGGCATCAGGCGGCCTATTTTGCCCAGGGAAAGGGGAAAGCATAGCTCTGATTCCTCCCCCACACCTCCAACTGCAACTGCTCTGTGCTTCCTTAGACTGGTGACAGCCCTGTCTAATCTGTGTGACTGATTTATTTGCTCTGCTCTGAATAAAGGAGATTAAGCCATTTGGAGTATGAGATTCAATGCAGAATACAAGGGATTAACACAATTTCTAATAGGTTCAAAACGATTGCAACAGCTCCCCAGGCAATGAGCAGAAGACAGATGATAAGAATGCCACAATATACAGAGAAGAGAGAAACAGCAGCACCACATGTGTCCTATTTCCTGCTGCTTATTTACTAAAAAAAATAATAATTTGTCTTACTGGCCTACTAGAAATTAG